TAAAAAGTGTCCACAATAATATGATACCCCCTGTATGATCAAATTTAGCAGGGAATGTATGACAATAACATACGGAAGAGAATACTTGAATTTTGAGAATCATGTACGTACGTACAAATAAATTTATTATTATAATGTTAACATTATTAAAATTTAGTTTGAACGCTTGCCCAATATGTTTAGCGTGTTTAACTTGTGCGAAAGTTTATGGAAAAGATTGTTCTTGTCAACCAATAAAAGTACAACATTTCATTTTAATCCGATTCATTTTAATCCGTCACAATAAATGCCAGTTCATTTGAACTTAATATGAACACAACCCAGTTCAAGTGAACCCAATTCGGATTTGAACTCAAGCCGGTTCAAGTAAACACAAGATGGGTATAACTGAATCTAAATTGTTTTTATAAGTTCTGGGACAGCTGTAAGCATGGAGCAATGCCCGAGGCCTGAGAGCTAGTTTGTTACATAAACCTTTATTCTAACAATCAGACCATATAAACAATAACGATAAGGTTTAACGGATCTCCTTTTTTTGGAAGTGTATCACTACCCCCAAAAGTTAAATCAAGTTTTTTCCTAAACTTTCCATTTCACAATGGTTCCTCTTGCCATTAATGTTAATACTTTCGTACGCACGTAAAGTAAAAAATTTTCTGATTAAGGTTTATATATAATCTACAAATTTATCGAGTCTTCAATACAAACGCAAGATCATCTTGTTAATTGCAAGAATACTACTAACAAAATTAAAAAATGGAGTATATTCAATCAATAAATTTCTTTCCTAGAATTTTGAACTTTTTCAAATCGTTTTTTGAAACGAAGGAGTGCACACAAAGCTCCTTTTGCCAGCACCATAGAAATTATGCGGATAAGGCATCTGCGAATCCATCATTTGTGTCTCCTTATTCATTGATTAAGGACTCTATCTTAATTAAAGATGGCAAAATTTCGGGATATCTTACTAACTCTGAAAATAATTTAGAATTTATTTTCGAATTACATATATTGGAAATTGGTGCAGTAAGAATTCAAATTAATGAAAAAAATCCTTTAAAACCTCGCTATGATAAAGTGAAAGATTGGGTTCTTGTTCAAGATCCACTGACTACTTTGGAATATAATCAAATCCCTTCTAAACCGGGAATTACATCTTTTTCTTTTGGCAAAGAAAAAAATCAGACAATTTCAATTTACCATTCTCCGTTTCGAGTGGAATTTCTAGTTGATGATATACCTACAATAATATTGAATGATCGTGGCTTCTTAAATTTTGAACATTTAAGAGAAGAAAAGCTGAATGTAGAATTCCTCAATCAGAATAGCAGCGAAAATTCAATCCATAAGGTAGAAACTTTCGTGAACAATTTGAACTCAAAACCGAATGGTATGTCAAAATGATTATCTCCATCTTCTATTTTCAGCGTTTTTTATAGCTAGTCAAAATTTTGGTTATGAGAAAAGTTTTTTTAAGGGCTAATCACAGTCGAAGGATATAAAAAGCATAGTAAAAGTCGGCACATAATTAGAATGTCAAAAGTTTCTGTAAATCTATTGGACTGATTATATTGTATTACCGGCATTAGAATTGGAATAATTTTTGTTAGAGACCGAAGTTTACATTAAAAAGAAAACCCATATTATTCACTGGTAAAAAAATCATATTTTAACTAAATAATAACCAGTAATATATAGTACAAATTATAGCTTATTACTATATATTTGCTAGATAATATATGTATTTAAACATATTAACTAAAAATAGATTAAACTACATATATTGCCTAATGAACATACAGTAAATAAGTTATAATTTGTACTATATATTACTGGTTATTATTTAGTAATAGCACGTGATAATTAGCATCACATGGTTTCGTCAGGCATCACTAGTCGGAATATATTTCGACTTTAGTTAAAATATGATTTTTTAACCAGTGATTGTAATCCAGTTACTGCTTGAGTTCCGACCACTTTTACTATGGATTTTTATATCCTTTCAGAGGTGAACTATCCTTAAGGGAAGTGTCAGATATCAGCTGATATCGTAGGGTGGGAGTAGTGATGTAGCCTAACTTTTTTGGCAGTTTTGATATTGATTAAAAATACCAAATTGATAAATAAATAGTATTTTACGATATTATGGTATTTAGGACAAATCCCAAACTAGTTTCGACAGTTTGGGATTCGACATCGGGTTCGGGTTACATCACTAGGTGGGAGCAGAGAGAAGTAAACAAAAATCTCAGTCCATATAGCTGATGGACTAAATTTCTTAGAGGAATGGATGGAGGATGAGCTCTATGATAAATTGATCTCGGCTAATATCTTACATGTCCCTTTTTAATGATTTTTTAATTTCTTATTACTGTTACGTAGTAGTCTACTTCTAACCTATGATAAAAGTAAAATGATTATAAATTCGATTCATATCGCTAAGACCATTTGTCTTAATTTTGTGTGAACAGGCCCAGGATCTATCGGACTTGACATCTCATTTCCAGGATTTATTCACGTATATGGAATTCCTGAACATGCATCACCGCTTTCATTGAAAGAGACACGGTATACAACGTTCAAGTTACCAAAAATTCAGTATTGTCCTTTTTTTTAAAAAAAAACTAAATTATTTATAATTTTTATAGAGGAGGTATTGATGCCTACTCTGATCCTTATCGCATGTATAATTTAGATGTAGTTAGATATCAAATAGACAGCCCGAAGGCAATTTATGGATCTATTCCGTTTTTGATGGCACATCGAAAAGGTGCATCGGCGGCTATGTTATGGTTAAATGCATCAGAAACATATATTGATATAACTAAGAGTAAAGAGAATAATGTAGGTTTTAAACATCATTCCACATTTCTAAATAATCACATGACGGAGTTTACAACTTATAATCACTATTTTAATCGGTAAAAAAATCGAGTTTCTAGCAGTGTTATTTCCTCGGTAATGCTTGTTATTTCCCGGACTTTTGGGAAATAACAAGCGTTACCGAGGAAATAACAAACTTTGTTAGAAACTCGATTTTTTTTATTGATCAAAGCAGTGGTAAAGCCTGTCATGACATCATATAAAAACAAAGTATAATGTATAATACCCTTATTTCACCGCTACGGGGATAGATCTTCGGCCTGCTAGGGGCCCTTCGGGCCCCATATGACCGGGGATTTACCTCTTATTCCCGCCGTTGCGGGAAATAAATAGTACTTATTTAATAGTTGTGTGGAGAATTAAGCTCTGGAAATGGATTTAATATATATATATATATTTGTTAGCCCAATTTTGGTAAATCTATTAATTCGACAAACGCCCATTGGTTTTCTGAGTCGGGCATTATCGATGTATTCGTTTTCTTGGCAAAACCTCTTCTGAAATCTTTCGCCAATATGGATTGCTCACTGGATTTACAGCACTACCTCAATATTTTGCGATTAGCTATCATCAGTGTCGCTATAGTTACCTCAGCCAGAAAGATGTTGCTGAAGTAGACGAAGGATTTGACAAACATGATATTCCCTATGATGTTTTATGGTTAGATATTGATCATACTGATGGGAAAAAATATTTTACATGGCACGCTGATAATTTTCCAGACCCTGAAAAAATGCAAAAAGATTTTATGAAAAAAGGGCGAAAGGTTCGCTTTTTTATATGATCTTAATATATTTAACGTTGGCATAGCGCAATTTTAATTGTGTAAATCCATTGTCACGGTTAGATGGTAGCGATCATTGATCCGCATGTCAAACGAGATATAAATTATTATATATACAAAGAAGCCAGCGATCTAGATCTTTTTGTCAAAGATTCTCATGGTCTAGAGTACGAAGCGATATGCTGGCCAGGCACGTGTCTTCCGATTATATTTTCCAAATTTCATAAATTTACTTTATTAAATTATATGAAAACAGGTAGTTCCTCGTGGGTAGATTATACTAATCCCTCGGCTCAAGAATGGTGGATTAAAAAATTTGCGTTTGACCAATATAAGGCAAATTAATATAAATTTTGCGCACATAATTTGAATAGAATACAATTAAATTCGGACATTATACATCAAAGAAGCTAACTATTTCATATGACTCAATTGATTGATAAACATTCAAAGAAAGTTACCTTCTTTGATGTCTAATGCCTATACTTAATAATTGGATATCCACATATGATAATGATTTATATTTTCTTATAAATTTAACAGGGATCAACTGAAATTTTATTCACGTGAAATGATATGAATGAGGTATCATTTCTTAATTATGCTCCAAAGTAGATATTAGAATCGATGACTAATTATTCGATCATCAATCAAAAATTTCGAGCATCGAAATAAGCTTTCATTCACTGAGTTTTAATTCGATTATCATCGAAAGTTAAAATTTAACTATTTGTTTTGATAATGATAACATAATGATAACATAATGATACTTGTTTGATTGAAGTTTAACATGATTATGTGATTGATAAATAATGTAGCGATAGCAGTACAATTGATAAATGACACTAAATTTTTTAAAAATTCATCGAACATTCGAACATCGGTCAAAATTTTTTTACCGATGCTCGAAATTCTAGAGTTTGTGATCAATCAATGCTCGAAACCCATCGATTCCAAAGGTTTTAATAATGTAACTAATCTAAAATAAATTTACCACATGAATTTAAGCCATCAGTATTCTATAGCCCTGAACTAACAATGCCAAAAGATCTTATTCATTATGGGGGCTGGGAACATCGAGACTTGCATAATATTTATGGCCTTACTTTTGTGAGTTCCATGAATTTTGCTTCTTATAATTTTATAAACAACGGATTATTAACATAATTAAATCATTGTAGCATATGGCAACTGCTCAAGGACTTAAAAATCGCACTGAATCACCACGTCGACATTTCGTGCTCTCTCGATCATTTTTTGCAGGCTCTCAACGATATGGTGCTATTTGGACGGGTGACAATACTGCAACTTGGGATTATTTAGCCATAACAACCCCTATGCTGTTGGCTCTTGGTATCTCTGGGTTGCCATTTTCTGGAGGTATTAAACGAATAACTTATATAATCAAGAAAACTCGATGCACTTATCTACTAATCTGTAATTTTAGTTGATGTCGGTGGATTTACCGGTAATCCAGAGCCTGAACTCTTTGTTCGATGGTATCAAGCAGGAGCTTTTCAACCTTTCTTTCGTGGACATTCTGATTGTGATACAATGGATACAAAAAGACGTGAACCATGGATATTCGGTGACCCATATACTGGTTATATCCGTGATATAATAAAAGAAAGATATTCGTTGTTACCCTTATGGTATACTCTATTCTACGAAGCTAGTACCACTGGAATGCCAATTATAAGGTACATAATATCTGATAAATAACAACTTCCAATCTCGTTAACTTCATTTTGTATCAGACCTATGTTCGTAGTCTTTCCCGACGATGAAAAAGCTTACGAAATGGATGATCAATTCTTTGTTGGTAATTCGTTACTTGTCAAGCCTATTGTAGAAGGCCAAACATCTACCGAAGTTTATTTTTCAGAAAACGAGGTGAGATATATTTTCTGAAATTTAGAGGATTAAAATTTGATTGTTAATTTCAATGCTACATAATTTTTCAGATATATTACGATTATTTTACATTTGAAAAAATTCATGGGCCCGGTAAAATTCGAATTAATGCCCCTTTGAACAAGGTTCCTGTCTTTTTACGTGGTGGATCCCTTATTCCAAAACGACTGAAAATTCGAAGATCTTCTTCAGCTATGCATTTAGATCCTTTTACATTGGTTATTGCATTAAATGAAAATGTAAGTGATATATTTATGCTTTCATTTATCTCAATGTTCATTAATGGTACTTTTTTTTTTTCTTTTTTAAGGGCGAAGCAACCGGCTCTTTATATTTGGATGATGGTGAAACTTATAATTATGAGAAAGGATATTTTGTTTATCGTCAATTTAAATTTTCTGGTGGAAAATTGGCGTCTACATCATTGTCATTACTTGATAATGATAAAAACATACATGCTCACTCAATTAATTCTGTTCAAGTTGAACAAATAATAATATTAGGATTTGGTGTGAAACCTAGCAAAATCATCGCGCATTATAGTAATAGCACTACAGATTCTGACTTTGAATTACAATTTGAATTTAAATGTTTTGGCCCATTGTCTGAAATTAATACTTCTGATGTACTATTATAAAAGATTCAAATTTATTGATTACTAAGGATTGGACAATAGAACTTTTGAAGCAATGATATTTATAAAGCATTGCCGAAGTTTTATTATATATATAAAAACTCAATTTGTATATTATAAATTCTCTTTCTAATAATAAATACTGGCAAGTACATTGTGAATCGATCCGCTGGGGGTAAGAATTTTAATATATTATAAAAAGGGGATACCAGGAACGGAGTGATATTGAAAATTTCACGTAGTGTATGGTTATACGGCAAATTAAGTGATGTTCGTACGTACGTACGTATGTACCTAAATTTCACATTTGTATATACTCTATTAATTTTCTGATTTTGCTATTATTTATATGATATTTTCCATAATGATAATTGAATAAAAATATTAAATAATGTATGATATTGAACTAGTTCTACGCCTGCTCATGCGCTGGGAGCTTTTTTTTTTAATATTTTTTTGTTATGGTTTATTGGTTGACAAGATTGTTCTTCCATAAATTTTCGTACAAACTAATCATACCAAGCATATCGAATATACATATAGACGAAAATTTAATAATATTGCTGCACTAAGGGTGTTCTCAAGCACTTCACACAATGGATAGGAGGTAAATTTTTAATTAGTCGGAAATTAAATAAATTAATAAAAAATGAGTTACCATTTAGATGAACAAATAAGCGAGACACAAACCACCTTTTTTCTACAAAATTTACCATTGATAAAGGATGCTCAAGCATTACTGCATTACTTTTACATATTTTTTACATATCAAACATAATAAACAATTAATTATTAACAAATTTCTAACTGGTCTAAAAAGATAGCCACTTTATTTTTAATGTTCGAAGCTTTTAAAAACAAATAATCGATAAATTATATAAATACATCAATCTTTTAACGTTTAACTAGACCGTAATGAATACTGGTTTTTCATTTTTCAGTCATTTAAATTTAAAATCTTCTCTGTAAAGAAGCCCTAAAGCTAAAAGGTTTGGGTAGATAGTTTTCTATTTTTGATAGATAGTAAAGAAATTTAATGTTAAAATCATTAAAAGGAGGAGCTGACGTAACTAAAGTTGAAACTTTACCTGTTGATTGTAAAGAATTTTTTTCATTAGGTTTTTTAGATAGTAAGCGAATATTACGAAAAACAGGAAAAGTATGCTCAAGCACTTATTTCTATAAATATGGTCATCAATTGTGATGCCTGAGCGTCATCACGATTATTATCTAATCAATTGATTTAGACGCTTGAAAACAGCCTAAGTTGATGTTCTAAAAATCTATAGAAACATATGAGTGCCTCCAAGGGAAAACCTTCAAGTTGTATTTTTTGTATATTTACTTTTAATAAAAGTATCTTAAAATCAGGCAATCTAATACCTATAATTTTAATATCATTTGAATTATCTTAATGAGACGATTCAAATAATATTAAGAACAGTAAGTATTAAATTGCCTGATTTTAAGATATTTTTATTAAAAGTTAATATTCAAAAAGTGCGACTTGTAGGCTTTCCCTTTGGCGGCACTCGTATATTGCATGTAATGAAATTTTTACGTGTAACCAATCATGCAGTAACCACTAACTTTGGATGCTCTCAAGCACCTCACTCAATGAATCAGAGGTAAATTTTTTAATTAGAGTTTTCTCAAGTACGACACTTAATAGATTTTCAATAGTCAAAAATTGAATAATTTAACCAAGTGAGCTGTTATTTCGATGAACAGGTCAGTGAGCTACAAGACATCTTTTTTTTCTTTAAAATTTATCATTGATAAAGGTCGCTCAAGTATTACTTTTGCATTTTTTACATGATAAACAATAAATTCTCACAAAATTTAATCTGATCTAAAAAAATAGATAATTTATTTTTAATACTCGAAGCTAGGGTTGTTAATGGAGTACTCCAGATATTAATAAAACATATAACCCACTTCTGGAGTACTCCGGAGTGGGTTATATGTTTTACTATTGACTGGAGTACTCCATTAACAACTCTACTCGAAGCCTTTAGAGCAAATTATCAATACCTTGATATAAACGTAACAAATGCAACCTATCTTTTAACCTTTATTCAAACTATAAAGAATAATACTTTTGTTTTACATTCACTAAATTTAATAATTTTTTAGCAAAGATGACCCAAAAATTGAAGGATTTTGTGTTGATGTTTTTCTATATTTAACAGATAATAAAGGTTATAACTTTTTTTTGAAAAATATTTTTGTATTACCAATGATACTTTTAGTGTTAAATAGCATATGCAGAATTGCTATAGATAGTTTATAAAAGAATTTTTTAAAAAATTTACTTGTTTTCACAAAGCAATTTTTGCCATGAATCCATAAGTTGATTCTGTTACTGTTGCAGCAAAGATTTATCTCTCACCTTAATAACAATATTCTTTTCGTATATAAAAATAGTTGAATAAAAAATTTTATTACTGCATTAGGTTTTTAGGAGGTATAGAGAAGGTTATAAAAATAAAAAGAGTCGCTTGAGCATTTTTTTAATTTGATATTGATTGTGAGTATTACAATTATTATTTAATTAATTGATTGAGATGCCCTTAATCAAAAATCAGCTAAAAAAATCATTCAGCAAATTTAATGTTTCAGAAATTATGAAATCAGCTATAAAGCGTAATGATGAAAATTATTAAAAATTTATAAGTCAGTTTTGGCATAAATCATCTGTATTTTTGCCATAACTATTAACAAAATTTTGTAGGACAATAATGAATTATTTTATTCAGATTATTTCCTAAATCGGTGATTTCATAGTATGCAAATTGGAAGATCGAAAAGAACTGCATGCATGCGATACATATAATTGTTCAGCACTAATAGTGCTAGATATTCAAACTTTATTAGAGTTACAGTGCATTTAATATATAATTGGCATTAGCCAGTGATTTCCCATCTATATAAATACAGGCCAGCTATTAGCCAGAAGTTTTGTAGTTGCATAATCTTAGTTTCCTACCTGCATAATTTAGGCCAGCTGTAAAGAGGTGTTTAAGCTGCCACAAAATAGCAGGATTCTGCTGAGGGAGAGTAGGGCAGGGTGCAAAATTGATTTGCCTCTTGAAAGGGCTGCTGTTATACTGGCCTACCATTCTTCATATATTATTGCTATATATTCCTTGCATTAGTATTTATGTCATAAACTTCTAAATTAGTAATTTCATTAAATTTAAACTTATCTTCCTTCTTGCATATACCGAATTCTCTTGTTGGAACTCTTGTTAATGCATCACTGCTTAGCTGTCTTTTTGATTTATTGATCTACTGCTAACTTTAATTTTTTCTTTTGTATTTCTCTTTTTAGCACCTGGAAAATGTGTATCTGGTTGGTGCACCACAGTGGTGTAACAGTTTGAAAGTCCTTTAATCAGAATTTTAAAATAGCGATGCATCATTACTAATATCAATTAATAATAATAATAATAATAATAATAATTGCATTAATATTAAATATATTTTTTTCTTTTACAACATTAAAAATGCAAAATTTAATTAACCAACCTTTAATTAGTCCACTATCTAATTTTTCTGACTTGCCGTTTCCACTTCAGCAAATACTTCCATCAAATTATATATACTAAATTGAGAATTATATTGAACCTGAACTTATACTTACTTTAGAAAATGTAACTATTAGTCAAATTGAAACAAATTTTTATGTTAATATTAATACCAAGGAAAATGCCTTAAAATGGTTAGATGAATTTCAGGAGATTTCAAAAACTACAATGTGAATAACAAAAACTTATATAACCAAAGAGTAAAAAGTAATTTTTAGAGAGTTACGGCACTGTATTCATAGTAATATAGTAAAACAAAAAAATAGCAGCTGTAATATTAAAAATCCCAATAGTCAACGTAATAGAGATATAAATTGCTCTTCAACAATTAATTTTTGGTTAAGAAAATCATATTTAATGTCGCAGATTATCATGAAATCAGATCATCGTGAAATTTGGGGGTCTTAATTTGAAAATATAAGCCCTACCAAAATCCACCTATACTCTTTTATTAATAATTCTAACCCTAAACCCTAACTTAACTATAAAAAAAAAGCTTACAAAAAAGACCCCAAAAAGTTTTAAAAATTGTATATAAAATAAATCTAAATTTCACGATGATTCAATTTTACGATAATCTGTGACAAGTAATAACAATAATGAATTTGTCACTATTAATATTATTTGGTATATTTATATTTCAAATATATAGTTTTCATATTATTTATTTACACCATTAACTTTTTTTAATAGTGATATTGAATATGAAAGTTGTATTACATCAATTGAAAATTTTTTTCACTGAATTGCAAATGATATCAAAAATAATAGTCAACTCCTTGCTGGAATTGAATATTTTAAAAAAGGATATGAAAAATCCAAATCTTTATCCGTAGGTAATTTGGTCATATATCTTTATCAACAGAACTCTTTGCAAGCCAAATCACTTCGAAGTAGAAAGAAAATTAAAGTACAAGTATCATCAATTCAAAGAAGAAAGCATAAAGATAAAGAAAATACTGATTCATCTTTAATGGCCATACACAAAAAAAGAAAAACATCAAAAAAAAGTTCATAATTTATCAAAGAATGTCTCAAATAATAAACAAAATTAATTTGTAAGGTTTTAATATTTCAAATATAAATTGATAAGAAAAGCTTAATTTAACAAAATTAATATTTTTAGGTTCGTAAACTACTTAAGCATCTTGTGAGAATATTAATTAAATAATATCTTTTGCGTAAATAAAAAGAAAAAAATTATTATAGCGAATAGGTTTTTAAAATAGCTCTGAACAGTACATAAATAAATTGAAGAAAATTAAATTCTCATCTATAAGATAAAATTGCTACTGCAACTACGCACATTGTATTATATTCAAGTTCTGATTAATGTCTTTTGGATTGTTACGCCACTGTGGCGCACCAACCTGGTACACATTTTCTGGGTGCCTGTTTGACAAACAAAAATTTTGAATGCTATTTCGCTAGCGCAGTGCAGTGCTTTGAAGCGCTACTATTGCTAGCAC